GGGTCGCTGGCGGGGCCGCCGCGGGTGGCTCAGCAGACCCTGTCTCACCCGCAGGTCTGGAGTGGGACTGACTGGCTCCAGACAGACCATGTTCTACGCAGAGGTGACAGACGCCCAGCGCAGCGGTCAGGGCGGGGGCCTGGCGGAGGAGGGCGAGCTCATTGAGGTCGTGCACCTGCCCCTGGATGGTGCCCAGGCCTTCGCGGACGACCCGGACATACCCAAGACCCTCGGAGTTATCTTTGGCATCTCTTGGTTCCGCAACCAGGTGGCCCCCTGCCTGGGTCTCCAGTGAGACTCCGGGGGGCCTCGGCAGAGGCCGGTCCCGACCACTCGCCCCCCACCTTGCAGGCCCAATAAAGGCTCGCACAGCTCCAGCCTTTGACTGGTTTCAAGGGGACCAGGCGAGGGGCGGGGCGGCAGCTCTTCCCTGAATGAGCTCCGGGGCGCTGCAGGCTCTGGGTGCCCCGAACTGCACTGCAGCCGGGGAGCACAGGACCAAGCCAGGCCGGGGGTGGGGGAGCAGGAGAGCGGGTGGGGCTGCGTGGGGCCACACTGGGCCTCCTGTCCCCGCAGGGAGGGGTGGGGCCGGGGCTCAGAGGGGCCAGGCACTCAGGGCGGGCAGCGGCCTGGGGTGGGGCCCGCTGGTCACTGGGTTAGGGGATGAGCTGTGTTCCCAGGAGAGGTGGCAGAACCGCCCTCACTCTCGTAAGTGGAGAGGAGGTGGGGACAGCTCCACTGGCTGCACATTGCAGAGTGCGTCCCTGCCCCGGGGCAAGAGAGGGTCCCCATCCTGACGGGGGGGGGGGGGGGGGGGGGGGGGAAGGTTACACTCCCCTCCAGGATCCGCGTGCCCCCAGTAGCCCTCCCCGTGCCTGTGAGGGGCCCTTGGCCTGCAGAGCGCGCAGCAGTGCCCGCAGTCTTGCCCCAAGAGGAGGGGGCGGCACGTGGGGGGACACAGGGCCAGTAGTCTTGGCGTGGCCCTAGCCCAGGCCATGCCCCAGGCACTCTGCAGACTGCCTCAGCCTGGCCCACCGGCCCAGACTGGGGGCTCGGCCAGGCTGTGTGTGGAGTGGCCCGCAAGCCCCGGAGCGCCCCGCCCTGCGTGCCCTGGCCTTGCCCTCTGGGCTGCGTGAGATGCATGCAGCTGCCCTCCGGGTCCCCAGCACACTTGGGGTGGCAGGAGGGCAGGCTGCCTCTGGCTCCTGCTGAGACGGCGGGGTTTTCCTGCCCTCCTGCGCACCCCCACCCCCACCCCCGGCTGCGAGCAGGTGGGCGGCGCTTCCTGTGATGGAGCTCTGAGCCTCCAGCCCCTCCCCTCCTGCCCTCCTGCCTGGCATATCCCTCTGACCTCCCCGAGGGCAGGCGTGGCCACCGTCCTGACCGCGATCCTCTCCTGGACGGCATTAGGTCCAGGCTGTGCTCCTGGGAGGAGGGAGAAGGGAACCCCGAGAGGGAGGGCGCTTCTGTGCCCCACAGGGTGGCACCCTGGACAGGGAGGCTGGGACTGCTCCCTGGTACTCACCTAGCGTGGTGCTGGACAGCCCCCGGGTGGACCTGGTACTCGAGGAGGCTGTGCCGCAGGGGCCCACAAAGGCAGCACCACCTGTATGCAAATGCTGGGTGCGGCCCAGGTGGGGCCGTGAGCACCAGGCCGGGCCAGCGACGGGCTGCTGGGGAGAGGCCTTCAGGTGTGTGGGGTGTCGAGGGGCTGTGCCATGGCGGGGTCCTGGCCAGCCTCAGCTTCACCCTGCCCAGAGGACGCCCCAGCAGGACGTTCACAGGACAGGATGCAAGGGTCAGTTCTGCCAGCCCAGGGCCACCCCACTGTGCCTCCCTCCCTTGCAGCCCACTTGGTGCCTGCCTCCAGCTCCCCGGCCCTCTGGGCTGACCTGCGGGTGCTGCCCGCTGCCTCGGAGGGAACGACAGTGGCCATGGTGGGCAGGGCTCTGGGCGGGTGGGGGCAGGGCGCAGGGCACCTGGATTGGGTGCAGTCCAGCCCCTCACTCTGCTCTGCAGCCCGACGGCCGGTCAGCAGGCACCGCTGCCGGGCCTAATGGAGCTGGCATTGATTTCCCGGCAAGGGGGGTGCGGGGGGGGGCTGTAACCGGAAACTCCCCTCCCTGTCTGCTATATTTAGCACCGCAGGACACGGACGGAAGCACAGCTCGCTCCGAAGCCCAGTGGCTCTGTCCAGACCCCTGCAGCCTGGTCCCGGAGGGTGCCCCCGGTCAGGCTGAGCGGCCCCCACCCTGTGCCTTCCGCAGCACAAGCTGAACACCACCCCTCAGAGCATGGGAGCCCCCTGGTGTTGGGGGGCCCAGAGAGGCAGCTGGGGGCAGGTGGGGCTGGGAGGCTGGGAGGGCTGAGGCTGTGCTGTGACACCCCCTGGGCCCCAGGACAATGATGGGGGCCCTTCCTGGAAGAGGAGGGGTGGCTTGGCCTGGTGAGGGTGGAGACTGGAGCCCTGGTCCCGCTGGACCCAGCCCCCAACTCCGGCAAGGTACAGCGCCAGGGAGGCAGATGAGCCATTTGAACTCCGTGGGGGCCGACGGCTCCCACTGCTGCCGCCGGTAATGTACCTGCAGGGTCTGGCCACCCCCGGCAATTCTGCCCAAGGGCTGCAGGAATCCCTGCAGGACGAGGACCCCCGGAGGGAGGGTCCCCGTCTTCAGTGGCTCCATACCCTCCTCCCCGAGGGCAGGCGTGGCCACCTTCCTGACCGTGATCCTCTCCTGGATGGCATTAGGTCCAGGCTGTGCTCCTGGGAGGAAGGGGACCCTGAGAGGGAGGGGGCTTCTGTGCCCCCGGGGTGTTGTCCTGGGCCACGGGAACCCAGGTCGCATACCCACAGGGCCTGGAGGGAGGCAGATGGGGCCAGGCTGCCGCCTCCCGAGCATTGCAGGGCAGGCCTGTGGGCAGGGCTCCAGGCTGAGGTGTGTTGGGGTGGAGAGAGCACCCCTCCCTGGGGGCTCCAGGCTGAGCGGCGCAGAGCTGGGGGAGCCCGGGCTGAACGCAGCAGCTCAAGGAACAGGCCGCGCACTGGCCACCATTGGTCAGCCATGCCGCTGAATGAGCCGGCCCGTTCCATCCTTCCTCCCCCTGGCCGGGAGCAGGAAGCGAGAGCTGGACGAGGGAGGGGCTCTGGAAGGATTGTTCCCTGGTTCTGTCTCTTATTCTGGAACCCCCCCCTTCGGCCCTGCCCTGCCTCGCCGCTGGGCCTCCCGCCCCACAGCCAGGGATCTTTGTGAACATTAAGTCACCGCGGCCCACCCCGGCTCGGCTGCTTTCACGGCCCCTGCTGGTCTTAGCAGGAGGACTCTGGGCTTACCACCAGCCCCCAGGGGCCACTGTGTCCTCTCACAGGCCCTCACTGGGGTCATGCTCCTTTGTCCCCAGGGCCTCGACAAGTGCTCTTCTCAGCTCTCTCCTGGCTGACCTTGGCCCCCTCTGGGTCTGAGCGGGGCCCCACCCGGTTTTGGCCTCACACTCTGCTGCTAGAGGCACCGGAGCATCCTTGGGTAGTGGGGCAGTGAGCACAGGCAGGGATGGAGCCCTGGCCTCTGGAGCTGGGGGCCTCCCTCTCCTGGGCACCTACCCCCCACCCCTGCTAAAGCTAAGGAGAGGAGGCGTCCCCACAGGGGACCCCTGGACCTGCAGGCAGAAAGCGGCAGCAAGTCTCTGGACACCGCTCCAACGCCCGTATCTGGTGGGGGTCTCTGTGTGTGCCTGGCTTGTGTTTAACCCCACCGGGCCTACCTGCCTCTAGGCCCCGGGGCTGCGGGTGCTGCGGCCCTGAGTGAGCAGAGCCAGCGAGGTGGTTATGGGAGACGCACCCCCAGCTGGTCCTACAGGCCTGGATTCTGGAGGGGCTGCCAAACAGGGGTGAGCAGGTGATCCCTGTGTGGGGGGCATTCCCAGCGCCTTGGTTCCCTACGCAGGCTACACGGGCACGTTCTGGGGAGAGGGGCAGTGCCTTTGTGCCTGCGTCCCGCTGGCCCTCCCCCAGCCGCTGAACATGGCAGCACCTGTGCCTCCAGAGCTCCTTCCTTCCAGGAAGCCCTCCAGGGCCCCAGCCCCGGCCCAGGGTTGCAGTGACTTGCTGCAGGCAGGCGGCTGCGCTGCTCACTTATGGTGTGGTGGGGTGGGGAGGACTCTCTGGATCATATGAGAATCTCTAACTGCCCAGGTGACCAGCCCTGCTCCGTGGAGAGGGGACGTTTGCAGATGAGGTGCTCTTGGTATCCACGCGCAGAGGGGCAGGGAGAGGGCAACGAGGGGACAGCAGAGGGTGGGCTTGGGGGCCTGGCGACCAGGGCGGCCCTCGGGACATGCACTGGCAGCCTTTGTGTCCCTGGTTCCCGGCCCTGCTCCCCAAGCCCGGGCCTGTGTCCTGGGCGTTCCTCGAGGGCATGGCCTGGCGACCTCCGCTCCAGCGCCGCCCTGCACTGGCTGACTGGCCGCGCGACCGGCGCGCCGCGGAGAGCCGAGGCCGGGACACCGGCGGGGAGCAGCGCCCCCTGCAGCCGGCCGGAGCGGGGGACTCCCAGGGCGCGGGGGCCGGTCCCTCTCTGGTCCCCGGGCTACGCTCATGCCGCGGCGGCGTCTTCGCTGGGACGGCGCGCAGCGCGGCGGTGGCGCGCTGACGGGAGGGACCGCGGCGGCGACCTCGGGGGCGACCAGCCCGCTGCCGACGCCGGCGGGGACGCGGGAGGGGGCACTGCGGCGCAGCCCTCGCCCAACCCGGGCCGCGGCCCCGCGGGGCGCGCCGGCCGGACGCTGCCAGGCGGCGCCCTTCGCCGCCTTTAAAGCGGGGCGCCCGGGCGCGGCCCCACCCCGCGGCGCGGCCCGCCCCCTCATGCATATGCAGGTGCGCGGGTGACGAATGGGCGAGCGAGCTGTCAGTCTCGTCCCGAACTTGTTGGCTGCGGGGCTGGAGCGCGGGCGCGCAGAGCCGAGCCGGGACCCGCCGCCGCCGCCGCTGCCGGGTGGGAGCCGGGCCGGAGCCGGGCCGGGCCGCCGGAGCCACCGCCAGCGAGCCGGAGCCG